GTAAAACGTTTGTATATGTTGAGATGAATCATGTTTAGTGAAAGGGAGGACTATGGCCTCTACATTCTCGTTTGATAGTGCTGAAGAAGATTGGGACCTTAATACATTATATTTACTGAATTCACAACTAGAATCATACCTTAAAATGGTGGGTTTTTAACAGTTCTTAAGGTGTATACCTATGCTAATAACAATACATATATATGTGTCATACATGTGTCATGGTGTTTCGTGGGTATTATGTTTTATCAATCATGTATAATCCTTTTGAATATGTTTTGTATGTGGTGAAAAAAAGATGCTATGAAGCATAAATGATAAATTATCATGTTAGCGATTTAATTCATTGTAGGTTTTTTCAAACTTTTTTTATGATGCTTGAACATTTGAATTTGATGTCTGCCTGCTTTATATTTCCCAGTTGTAATAAATTTTTTTATTGGATGATTGAAACTTTTTTTCATGTATAGCGTTATCACCTGTTGTGAGATTAGGAAATAATGGGAAATATCTTCTATTTCATTTTACAAGAAATATCTTCTGTTTCACTTTATGTTTCTTGATCTTCAGCAGAAAGTTTTCATGGTATGTTAGCATTATGATGAAATTCATCAAATTTATATAACCTATTGTTACAGTGTTATAGAAGGAGGTATCACCACTGTTCTCTTGATACATGTAAAATAAATTATAAAATTTAGGGGGCAGTTTTAAGGGGAAAATTAACATTTTTTAATGTATGAAAGGGGTTTTAAACTCGTTATATTTATCTTGGTTAATTCATTTTAATTTTCTTTTGAGCTTTCCATACTTCTTTAGCTATGACATGTTGCTATTTTGTTGTTGTTGAGCCATCTTTATGTAATTGCTGACTGTTTGTGACTCCATTTTAACTTAAATAATTAAGAGATAATAAGTTATAATAAGACTCTGACTATCATTTTGACAATAATGGAAACTCATTGTAACCTCACTGTTTTAAATACATAAATTGCTGTATGAATATTATTTTTAAGTCATTCTTTCAAATGTCTTCTTTTACAAAACAGATTATCTTTTTCATCTATTCTCCAATCTTATTTCTTTGTTAAATGTTTCAAAGACTTCAATGGCAAAAAAGTTGTCAAGAAAATACATTCAATGTAACTTCTGTGTTTTATCTACATTTTATTTTTGTAAGTGGACCATTCTGGTTTGGCGGGTTTCTAAGTTTGTAAAAATCTTTACTTTCAAGAAATTTTTAGTTAGTTAACCAGTTAAAATTTAGCTGATTTCAACTGTTGTTACAAGATGTATCTAAAATACTTTTTGAGTTTGTAAAATTTGACCTAGTCAGTTAATATAAAAAATGTTGTGAAAAATCTGAATACTTTCTTTACTGTTTCGGCAGCCCTTTTCTATCAGCTGATTCATCGAACATGACAGATGGATATCGTGTATCCAACAGAGCTTTCTTAACCATTTCTTTTGTAATTTGTATCCTTCTTTAATAGATTTAGCACTTCCATTTAGAAGATCTTAACACCAGATATAGGTATTTCCTTATTTTCCAATTTACCAATCCAACAACTGTGAAATTATTAATAGGATTGTCAATAAAATTATCCCTCCTTTGTCATGGCCTGAACACACCTGTTAAATTTGATATAAATAATGAAATACCTTGATAATAACGATATAAGAAATATGATAGTTAATGGGAAAACAAATGAGCAAAAAATTTTTGTTTAAAAATTATTTTATTAAAATTTTTTTAGTACGCTTTTTTTTTAACAAACAGGGCTGGAAAAGAAATTTTTGGTTGGGGCATTTTAGGGATTATTTAAAAAATTTTTTAAAATCCAAAATAATTATGTTTAAAATAAAATTTATAACTTTTATAAATTTATAAAAATATTTTAAATCTAAAATATTATATTTAAATTATATATATAAAATTTATATATTAATAATATATAAATAATTGTGTATATTAAAACATATGGAAATGTAATTACTGAGTGAAGGAATGCCTTTAGGTTGTTAAGAAAAGTTCGAATATTAATTGGACTGACTCATGGTAAAGTTACCCTATAGATTGATGTTCTAATTAAATTAATTCATTTCTTTTGACATCTGCATGAATTATTTAGTATGATTGGGTTAATTGGAGACAAAAATTTATTTATTAATTTTTATGGCTGACATAGCATTCAGTAACTTTCCCAGAGGTAACTGAAAACACTGTTTGCATATTCAAAACACTATTGATTTGCATAGGAAGTTTACATTTTTTACTTGCGTTCATTTTCTTTATATCACAATAATGTACTAAATAAGGCGTCAGTAGATTTTAATATAGCTTATTCTAGCAGTCAGTAAGAACACTTGAAACATGTCGAAAGATCTGAAGTGCTTTTTAATGTCTGAATTTCTTAAGGTTGATAGACCTTTATTTAAATATCTGTTTGGTTTTCACATTCTTGGATCTATAGCTGCGTTTTCACTATGTATTAATTAAGGTCTTGTAATATAGGCTCGAGTACTTACATGGCTTCTGCATTAATAAATATGGCATTGAGACTAGAAATGGCGTTCAAAAATCATTCCGCCCCACTTGCTATTGTAACGAAACAACATTGAACAGTTCTCTTAGATAAAAGAACTTTACAGAACTTCTAAAAGGCTTTTATATAGAGTTGATAAAAAACCCTTTAATATTAATATTTGGGATTATATTATCCTTGTTAAATATTATTGTTTTATTAAGGCCCAAAAAATGACCTAAATAAACTGGGAAATTTTGGCAGAACTTTTGTCTGAGGATTTAACAGATTATTTCTTTTTTTTTCAAAAAAATTCCTAAAGTATCCTTTTTTAAATTTACCTTCTGTCAAAAGTGAGGGGATTTTAGGGAAAGGGAAAAAAAACTTTGGGGGCCCTTTCAAGTACTTTAAAAAAACATTTTTGCTGGCAAAGTCCTTTTTGTTTTGTTTGCCTTTCTGATAGGTTTTTTAGATAGTCTTTTTATTCTCATTTTTTTCCTTTTTTTTTTTAAAATAAAACTTTCTTTTTTGTTTTTTATGAACTTTACAGGAAAAAATTTTTTTCATTATGACACTCTTGTTTTAATTTAAACTATTGTATTAACCTAAAATTAAAAAACTTTCTTTTTTTATGTCTGTTTTTGAGAACAAATGTTTAATCTTTTGGGGAAACTGACGAAATTAATTTTCTATGTTTCACTTGCTTTTGGGGAAAAACCTTGCAAACTTTTTACCCCTACAACCGGCGGACCTTTTCTTTCCCAACTTCCTGTCTTCTGATTGTTTTTTCTGACTTGCTGTATTTAAAATTTTAACATATTTGAAATTCTGCTTATAAGTGATGAATGATTTTGTCCAGATTGAACGTTGGACAAGCCCGTTAAAATTGTTTAGCATAGTAATGGTTGTTTACTGGCATAAAGAAATAAATTATCATGCATTTATGCATTTAAATGCTTGAGGAAATAGACTTTCCTTTTATATTCTTAAGCTTATTTTACAGCTGAATAGAATACTTGCATTGCTTTTTCTTTCTTTCATAAGTGCTTTCGTAGGTTTGATATATGTCATTTGGAAAATATTTGTTTGGTATTATGTGATACAGGTTTGCCATTTGATATTTATGTGAAGAATTTGTGTTAAAATGTTTTGTGTATACCTTTGCTTAAAAGTCACTCAGTTGTAATTTTTGGCATGAAAATTGTTCCACTTGATATTTTAGTTTATTTTAGACATACTGGTGTAAATCATTATAAACATTGACAGATATAATGTAGGCCACCTGGTTCAGCAGGTACATAATATATGTAATTAAAAGATTATAATACATAAGTTTTTAATTCTTCAGGTGTACGACTGATTTAGAGCCAGGCCCTAGCCACACTCCACTCACCCGTTTATTAGGGTTGAAACTTAAAATTCTCTAAAAGTTTAAAGGCCCAGGATATCTCCAGAAATGCCTTTATTTCTATTTCTCAAACAGTTTTTATTTTAAGTGTACTTTTATAGTTCGCCAAAAATTACTCATCGGCCAATTAAGTGAACCTTCTTTTTCTTATGCTGCTTTTTGGAATAGTGAATTGGTATTTTGTACGGAATGAAAAATACTACTTTGTTTACATTTTACTACTTTTATGACAATAATTTCACATTAAGCGCTACTTTTTTCAAGTAACAAGCATCTGGCTAAAATACTCTAAAACATTATTTAAACAATATAAAATTCATATTTGCCCCTTGTGAGAAATAAAAATTTACACATTCCTGAGGAATAATGTGCCTTTAAAGTGAAATTTTTAGTTCTAAGTACAAAGTAGGACAAATCAAGTACAATATGTTTTTTTTTATGAGAAACAAATGAACAAAATTAATACAAATAAATTAACGAGGTACTTTAATAAAGAGTTTATAAAGAAATTGACAGTTATATTTACATGGCGAAATATAATAATTCAAATATATTCTATATTTAACAAAGTCATTCAACCTAACTAGATCAAACTTGTATTTGAACGTGGTCTGGTATGTTTTTAAAATGTTAACATTTAAGTTGAAAGCAAAAGGTGAAGGAAGTGCTGTTGTTAAGCATAGACTAGACATATGTGGCACATGTTTGTAAGTTAATAGAAGAAAATTATGCAGTGAAAACTTTTCTTTGAAGATTTTTTTTGCCTGAAGAATGGTAATACTAGACCGTATTAAAACAAAAAGTTAATTAGGGGTTCAACCATATTGTATAATGGAGGATTATTTTACTTTACAATACACAGGTAGTTGATTGTATCAGAAAAAATATGTATTGGGTAAAAATGCATTTATTTTAGAAAATGCCTTGTTTAAAAATATTTAATCTTTTAATAATTAATCTTTTTTAACAAATATATGAAGCTGTAAATATTGCAGGTAATTTTCAAGATTTTTGTTATTTTAATTTGTGAAGTGAAATTAATATTATGATTTAATGTATATTTTCAGTTGCCTGGCGGAGGGGTGGACATGACATTGAGTGAGCTGCAGGAAATGGCAGCACGGCAACAACAACAAATAGAATCACAACAACAAATTCTTGTGGCCAAGGAACAAAGACTAAAATACTTGAAGGTATGAACAGATCTTCTTTGGTTTCAAGAATTTTTAAGAATTTTTAAGATGTACTCTGTAACAGATCTGACTCAGTAATTAATGTTGATAATAAACTTTACAGCTATTACTTATTTGCAATGATGAAGGTTTTATTTTTGACTTATATAAGATTTGCTTTGTCTAAATCACCTTTTTCAGTTTACTATTTAGATTAGTTTATGGTCAATGGCAGAAATTGTTGTCTTTTTCTTTTCAATACTTCGCTTTTTTACTTCTTGATATCTTTACTCAATATCTATTCCTATATCAAAACATATGAACATTGTTTCCTAATTGCTGTACACCTAAGGGCATGGTCTTCACCTTGTAACCATGTTATTTATACATCAAAAACTGTCAAAGTGACCAAAAATTGTCAAATTGACTACAAATATCAAAGAGGTTATTAAAATGAATTAAACACTTAATGAAAAAGTGTCAGTTTCAAATTGATTATTTTTGCTGTGTTTCTTTAAGGAAATAAATGACTATTTTAAAAATTATTATTTTTAGCAACAAGAGCAGAAGCAGCAACAGTTAGCCTCAGAAAACGACAGGTTGCGGAAACTGAGGGACAAAGTTGAGGCTCAGGAAATGAAACTTAAGAAGCTGAGGGCATTACGAGGGCAAGTGGAGCAACAGAAGGCCAGCAATGGAAATCTCAGTAAGTTATTTGGGGGTTTTTGTACAGATTTCTGTGTTAGAGTTGTTAGTCTTATGGACTAAAAAGTTACTTTATAGGTTTGAATTTTAAACGGGGAACTATTATTCTTTCATGTTGTGATCTAGAATTAACAAATTGCTTTCCCTCAAGTTTTTGATGTGTATATAATTAACAGAATACATGGGATCATGGGAGGGCAGTTGGGATTCTGTCTTACAAGAATGCTCAACACTTCATACATTTCATAGGCTTGTTTACTATTAAAGAATTAAGTTATCTCGTCAAAATGTTGTATCATAATTTAGACTGTTGGATTTTAATCACTAAATTAATTTATATTATCGGTAATTAACTTATATGTTTATTATAATTGAACTAACTTATATGTTTCTTATATATATATAAGTGAAAACATAAATATCCCAAGAATCCTTACTCTAATGATCAATTCTACAATACTTGTAGAATATTCCTTGATAGTAATTTAATTCCACGCAACAGAAGTGAAATTTGAATGTTAAGAAATCATTAAGTGACATTATTATACCTATAAAAATGAACATTTAGTTAGTCAAGGGAGAAAATAGTTAACCAATTTTTACAAGCAGAATTGAATGGAATCTTATAAAGGTGAATTAGATTGAGATTTTTGTCATATAGTTGTTAAACCAGACGGCAACAGGTCATGCCAACTTTTGATAAAAGTTTTATTGAATTTCTGACTTTTGGTCACCTTACATGTCATGTTTGAATGTTCAAACTGACCCTAGTATTTTGTGAAAATTTTCAAAAGAAAAAAATATTTTTTTGATGGATTTTCTTTAACAATCTTGTCTGGTTTTCCAGAGATAACCATGGTCTAAATTTAAGTTGCTCTATAAACCAAAGAAAGACAAATAAGTTGATAAAAATAACTGCCCATGTACCTTCACAAAAATGTTTGACCTTGTTGACACTAAGTATTACAATAAGTATGAGGTTAAATTTGACAGGATTGACCATGTTGACTCTTAAATTAGGCCAGTGTAGGCAAAAAGATGTCAAAATTAGGCTGGTGAAGTATCTCGCATTACATCATTTCATCCATATTTTTTTCAGAGCTTTATTAAATGGATGAGAAGTTATGGCAGTATAGGTTAAATAAGACCACACATGGGCAATGTCATAAAAATAATTTATGTGTACAGATGATTCAAATTTCATTTCAATATAATTTATTATACCCTTGAATTAACTATAGCCCTGATTCATATGACTTTTATCAAAAGATTTTAACAAGCTATAAAAAAAATTTTTTTTGATAATGAAATTTTATTTATGATGTCATTAGATAATTGATGAGGGAAAATATTGAAAAAGGACTGTTATCTGATAAAGTTATCTACATTTTATGAAAAATATTTTCATTTTTGTGTGTTTTAATAAAGTTGTGATATAAAACATAGTTGGCTTTATACATAGATAAAGAGGAGATATTGTGTTAGTTGCAAGCTCCTTGGTGAACCTGCTTTTTGCAAAAATGTTTATTCTAAGTGCACTAGGGGTGCACAACATGTGCATGCCAGATTGGTCAGCGCATCCATGCAGTGGTCTGCACATTCATAAAGTCTGATCATGGTCTGCACTGTTTCCTACTATAATGAAATATTCCATAAAAACAACAAATGGTTTAGTCCTTATTGAAAGACGGTCAAGTAGGATATACAGTTTTGACATTAATGACATTACTCATTATACTGTGTCTTTTACAGAGTAATTGTCTTAATTAGAAAAGTGATTGAAAAGTTTTATTGAAAAGTAAGACAGATTTGGTAGCGATACGATCTTGAAGTATTCAAGAAGAAAATCTTAGACCGGAAGACTACGTCTTTAATTACCGTGCCTGAAATCTAATATGGACGCAATGAAGGCATGTTCTGTTGTTCTTGCTAGTATACGCGGTTAATAGTCCCCGTAATGAATAAGAAAAGTGTTATTGTTTCAATAAACATGAAGGTGCTTAGTTACAGTGAATAACTTTACAAGTACAAATACAATATTGTAGTATATAGAGTTACCCGCATAGTCTTTGTAAACACAGTGTTTTTTTTCCCCTTATATAACTGATACCGGAAAACAGCACCGTTCCCAACAGAAAATAGACAGCAAATTTCCCAATCCATGACTGATAAATTCCCAAAATAACACTGAAATTTTCCTCAAAAATCAGCAAATTTAAAGGTAAACAAAAACAGTAATGGATGCTTCCATATTGATAAGTGATGTACGATAAAGAACAAGTATAACCACATGAGATATATTCGTAACCAGTTCATTTTTCACTCCTAAACATTATTTATGTACAATTGTAATGATTATCATTTTTTTTTCAACCTCAAGTAGCAAAAATAAAGACTTATATAAAATTTCCAATTTGAGTCAAACTGATGGATTTTTTTCGCAATCTATCCAGTACCAGCACCATTCCCAAAGTAGGGGAAAAAACACTGAAATATTATAGTTTTATTGTAGAAGAAAATCTTTTTCTGTACATATTAGAGTCGATTGTTTTCCTTTTTTCGTTAAACAAGTTAGTTTGTGTGTATGGAAATAACATCATTTTAGTTTGTGTGTATGGAAATAACATCATTTTAGTTTGTGTGTATGGAAATAACATCATTTTACTATGTACAAATTTGATAAAATTATTTCATTACAGAAAGTTTTTTCAAGTGTAACTATAAGGGTTTGTAATTTTATCCATTTGAACATTCTTCAAAAAATAAGTCAGTAAGGCTTTGTTATGATACGTCTTTCATATTAACAGCATGCCAGATTCATGATTATTTTCATGAAAATTTTGAAAATGGGTTAAAATCAAAATAGTTTCAAGGGAATAAAGAAAGCCAGTTTACACATTGCAAAAGTCACTTTCAATCCACGTAAATTACCACATAACTGTCAAAATATAATTAAGCTAACTGCTATAGTCACCCTGTAGAAATTTATGGTGGTAGATACTGTTCACTCAGTCATTCATTGCATATAACATGTAAATTATTTCTTGAATTGTAAATATTTATACTTTTCTTAAGATCTTAGTACATTTTTCATAAGGTTGATTTTCTTTGGCTTATCTGGAGGCATGCAGCTTAAAGTACTTATAAATATATGGCTTTTGAAAACTTAGTTTCACAGCTATATTTATCAGCTTTGCAGCTAATATATATAATACATGTACATATGAACAACTCATCATAACGTTCTGTCAACAAATGAATACTACAAAAAACAACAAACAACAAAATAACACACACACAACATTCCAGAACAAAACAATATAGCATTACTAATAACTTAGTATCAAGTTTCTGGTTCAAATGAGCATTATAATAACATATTGTGACAACCTCTCGTATTTTTTGTCATTTATTAGCGAGAACAGGATCTTGTACTATGATATGTATTAGAGACAATAGACATGAAATATGGCCATCGCCTGACCTCTCCCAATTTCATGCATTATTCTGATGATATCTATGCCTAGAAGTGCTGTCCACATTTTTTGTTCGATGAGTTGGAACAGAACATGTAAATGACTGTACGGGTCCCTGGAGGGGTGTGACTGTATTAGAATTATGTTGAAGGTGATATGTAATTAATACTGCTCTCTATGCTTGAAAAAACAAAATTAATTATACACTGGAAAAGTAATGAATGTTCATTTACATGCCATTTTCATACTTAAAGAAAACACTGGGTACAATGTTTTAGAAAGGAAAACATGAACATGTATAAGATCTTACAAACTGTTAGTTATTAGTTTTCTAGATAGTTTTGATGATAAAATACGACAGGGTATGCTTTTGAATTTAAATGGTTTTGTTAGAGGAAGTCACCCAGGTGGAAGTTAAAGGAAGTTCACTTTTTTTCACTTTTACCTGCATGTGCCTGAATTAAATTAGAAGTGTCAGCATGTGCTTTGAAATAATTGTGGCATCTTAATTTTTGTAAGAAATCAATTATCCTATTAGATTGATGGGTGAAGTTCAGCCTCAAACTTAAAGCACATAAGTCTTACCTGAGATTAAACTGTTGTATAATGCACTTAATTTTTTATTTAAAAAGGCTCCTCCTTAAATAAATAAAAGGGTTTATCAAATTCAAAGGAAGAAAAAATCAAGTAATGACATTCAGAAGTGGGGTACGGGCTAATTAATTAACAAAAAGTCAATTGTGATGAAATATTGTATAAAGTATATTGGGATTTATCAAAGAGGAGTTTATGTCCTAACAAACACATTCCACTGTGCCATGTTTAGCAAATCAAACAAAGATTGGCATTCTTCTACAAGTTTTTATGTCAAACAAAGACACTGGTAAGGAGTTGTAAAAATTGCCCAGATTGATTTTCTGTAAAAATGTGATTGATTAAGTAGATTAGATGTGATTGTAAGGTAGTTTTTGATTGCCATTCTTCAATGTTTGATCTTGCTTAAGTATGATTGATCTATGATGAACACCAGGAGTTTGTTTTTCTAGCATTTATACCTGCTGTGTTGCTCAAAGTCGTGTTGCCTGTTATATCATGTTGTTTGTTATATTGTGTTGCCTGTTATATCATGTTGCCTGTTATATTGTGTTGCCTGTTATATCGTGTTGCCTGTTATATCGTGTTGCCTGTTATATTGTGTTGCTTGTTATATTGTGTTGCTGTCTTTCAGTGGGGTTTCAGTCAGTCCTCCTCAGATATACTGTCACTTTTGTGGGCAAATGTCGATAAATGGACAAATAAGAAAACATTCAGGTGAAAGTAGAATTACAAAATAAAATTAAATAAATGACCCTCCTAAACAGATTCGAAAATGAAATTATGAAATCCAAAATGAAATAATGAACACAGAAATGAAATAATGAATTCCAAAATGAAATAATTGGCTAACAAATGAAATATGGACACATAAATGAAACAATGGACTGAAAAATGAAATTATTGAATCAGAAATTATTTATAGGACTCAGAAATGAAAAAATGGACTCGTCAACGAAAGAAAGGGCACAATCATATATAGGACTCAGAAATGAAATAATGGACTCAGAAATGAAATAAAGGGCTCAGAAATAAAATAAAGGACTCAGAAATAAAATAATGGACTCAGAATTAAAAAATGGAATCAGAAATCAAATAATGGACTCAGAAATGAAAAAATGGACTCAGATCAGAAATGAAATGATTTTAAAAAAAAATCACAAAAAAACGGTAATAAAAATTTTGATTGCTATGGGTATTTAAATACAACATGTATTTTGATTGACAACTTTTTTTTTTTTTAAATAAAAAATTTCCTGTATTGTATGATTGTAATCAAATTTGATCACACTTACAGATAGGACTAGTGTTTGTTTTTAAGTTGACAGGTTTGTTTGTTTAATGAAAAAAAGTTATTATCACAACTTCCTTGTGAATTGAATATAAAAAACAAAACATATTGTTTATTATCCAACTTCCTTGAATATAGAAAATTCCTTCCTATACGTTGTACATGTATAATGTCATAACTATGATTAATGTTTGATAAACATGGAGTTAGAAGGGAGAAAACAGTAGTAAACATGTCATTTTAAACATGATATATTTTGGCTATAGACAGCAGAGGTCATTCTGTAATATTTTAAACATTTAGTAAATTGTGCATACAAGGAAACACCCATAAACTATATATATCCTCTTTACCAAGTAAAACTATAACATGATTTGGAAAAAACATTACATGTATATTGAGGGAATAATTTTTTTATTGAGTTGTTAAAATCTTATTTTATGTTTTGGAGGTAATCTTAAAGTTCCTTAAGTTCCTTCAAACTGTGAAGTCTATCCACTTTACCAAGAAAAGCTATAACATGATTTGGAAAAATATTATATTGAGGGAATGATTTCTCCTAAATTGTTAAAATCGGATCTTATGATTTGAAGGTTATCTTATATAGTTCCTGTGAAATCACTTTCCAACAACATTTTTTTTTTTTTTTTTCTCCCTCATAACATTTACAGTAAAGATAAGGCCAAATTTTGTTAGATTGGTTTCTTATTTTTTCTCATGAAATTGTAAAAGGTAAATACGGGAGCTAAGTATAGAAACCTTAAGTAAACATGCTTTAATATTAAAATTGAAATTGAACTTTTCCCTCTATTTCAGTTAAATTGAAAATCTCTTGGAATGCTTTATTGATTTAGCAATTTTTTTATATTTATTTAATATAATATTTTTGTTTGGGGTTGTTTTTACAGGGCACCAGCACATAGTAGCAAATTATGGCGACTTTCCCAGCTTTAACTGGGGGAAAGACTGCAGGTCCATCTTCATTTTTTAGGACTTTAAAAGGCCCTGAGTAGAGATATATCCCAAGGTTCCGTAAGCTAGCTAAAAATCTTCGTTTTATGAAAAAACCCAACTTTGGTTGATTCAACCCCGGGGTTTGAGGGACAAGTGGAAATTTAACAAGTTATAATATGCCTAAATTTTCTTTAGAAAATTTAAATTCCGTTTTTTTTTACAGATTATGAGCTGGAGTCCATTAAAGCATTGTTCAATGAAAAAGAGAAAGAGTTGGCGATGGCCGTTGCCAAGGTGGAGGAAATGACCCGGCAACTGGAGGAGATTCGTAGCGGCAGGGTCAAGGCCAGTACCAACACACAGAGTCCTGCGGCCCTTGCTGAACTGGAAAAACTGAAAAAAGAACTGATGGTAGGTATCTGGAAGTGATAATCATAATTCATAGTCTAAATTTAACTGTTAAGTCTATAATTATTATATATTAAAAGAACTCCGATGAGGTCAAAATACTTGAAAACATAACAATAATTTCTTACATAGATCATTTGGGGCAGTTAAAATTATAAGAAAGATATGCACATACGTTAATTAATTAAGAAATATATGCTGATATATTGATAGGATTGTGTATTTTAAAATCAACACATTTGTAACCATCAGCCAGTTTCTGCTGAACTTGAAAACATTTAAAAATGAACAGGTTGTAGGTTCTAAATTTGTAAGCTAAGGCTACAATTTAGCTTTTTACCTTGAGTAATAATTAAAATTATAACCTTCAGTATTACATTGTTGTTCTGTGATTAAGTATTATCAAAGTGTGATTGTTATTTTCTTGATGAAATGTGGATGTTAAAACATGTTTGTATACTTCTAGTATGTATATATTCCTATGGGAAATCATAGAAATGTTACATAAGTTTTGAGTATTTGTTTGATATTTTGTGCTCAATAACAAAAAACATCTCCATAGTTATCAGACACAGCTGTCAGCAATTTGTTAGAACATACATGAGTATGATTACTGTTATATAAACCTAGAAGTCCAATGTTCTGTTTTATACATCATGAAAATCAATATGAACTTCAACAATTAGCTATCACCAAAGCTAAATTTACATGATACATTTGGGTTAGCAACATGCTAGACAAGGATGACGTGTGCGTGTCATATTTCATAACAGTTTTCATGATAATTAATATGTACATGGTCAATGATCATTCCTTCCATGTTACTTTGCCATTTATACATCATATTAATCATTCCATTTAGTGCAGCATTATATAAATCACAATTTTTTTTCCCCCAATAATCAAAAAACATTATATTCATATTATTCAGTGCATGATTGAAATATGGTGCACACACAAGTACAAATACATATCAATAGCTTGTTTAAACGAAATAAATTTGAATCGTTTTCAGATACGTAACAAGTTGAATGAAAATCAGAGTAATAAGATGGCCTCGAATCGTGAACTGCTGGCAAAAAGAAAAGATGAATTGGCTCGGATGGACAATAGAATTCATGAGTTACAGATGAGATTGAAGAAGAAACGGTCTACAAATGCTGAAATGGCCGAACAGAATAAAAACCACATGAATAAAACAAATCAGAACAGTAAAGTTATAAATAGACCTCCCCCAAACATTGCAGCTATCGAACCTTTTGTGCAAGAGCCGCCTAACAATACTGGGGGATTTGGGAAAAAGGATCCCAAATACCAGTCCCTGCCTCCAAGTTCAAAGTTCATGTATTCCGGAGAAAGTGAACCGACAAAGGAACACAAACAATAAAATGATTAAATTATAATTCTAATAATTCTAAGCAGTTACGATCCTGATAAATCTGAGGAATATACTATACCATTGGTCGTTTCTTAGACAGCAACAACAAACCTATGCAAAATGGCCCTTCCTTCTCCGAAACAAAGTCCAGTGGGTGGAGCCTCAGCCTAATCAAGGATACCAGCTTACCCAACCCCTAGCTCTTTACAAATCCCTCAATCAATACCCAGTAGCCTGGCACCTCAAAATATTCGTTTTTGGAAGTGGTATTCCAGCTAGGTCAGGGTATCACACTTTACACCTAAACCTTATGGAAGCACTTATAGTTCATCAATTTTACCAAACAGAGGATAAGTACGGTACCAATGAACAAAACAACTATGATCTCCAAGATAGATTAGGCAGTCGGTAGTGGTCAAAGTTCACCAGGTTTCAGTTGAGAGTGCAAATAGTTGCAAATTCAAAACTATTACCACCATATTCATCAACGTGAAGGGCCTCTTACCTCCAAGTAAGCCACAGGTAGTACCAACTAACTCCAAAGGACATCCCACAAGATGTCCAGCTTGCTAATAAAGGTCCTCAGAAGGAGAATTATAAATCACAAAATAAAACACCACCACCTCCAGTTTCCCAAATAGATTCCGGAAACCGACCAGAAAATACGCAAGCTAATACAGGTCAAGTTCCAAGCTGTTCCAAGACCACAGCATAGTTCAAGTGCCTCACCTGAAAATTTAAGTGACTCAGAACAAACGAATATGTCTGTTTCTAAGGGTATACAAAAATTTACGGGACTTATAGCTCAGACTTCACAAGATGGGTCTAAAACCCAAGGGGTGCTAATATCAACTCAGGGGGATTTTTCCAATCTCAACCATGCCTCGGCACCTTGGCGCCAGTTACAGGAGATCTGTGCCAACATACAGATATGCATCTAAAAGTGTCATAGCAAAACACATATCTCGGCAGGTTAGAGACAATGAAGCCTTACAAAAATATTCAGAAAAATGTGCTGAGTTTACATAGAGATTTAAGTGCAAGTAGTAGTGTGGATGAAGTTAGTCCAACCTCAGAAAACTGTATCAAATAATTTAAATGATAAATTAAAAGACGAAGAGAAAGATTCTCTATCACCGTTTATCGAGTGTTACCTCGCCAGCAGGATCGACTCCGTCACCTTGCTAGTCCGTCACGAACCTCCTTAACTATCCTTTCGATTTTTCCCGCAACTCCACCTCATGCAGACGTTGCATCAGATAAAGTTAGCTATAAGCCAAACACCCCTTAAAAACATTCGTAGAAAGACATTCTGATAGTGACAATGAGGAGGTTGGTAAAGCATTTAATAAATACGGAATTAATACAAATGCAAATAAAAATCCACCTGCACCAAGAAAACCAACTTATATTGTTGGAGAACAAGCAAGGACCTGTTGAAATTCAGGCAAAACGACTTTTTAGTGATCATATTCCTGAAACCAGTGCTCTTAGACAATAAAAGGAAATATTGTAGAAGTTATTGATAATGTTAAAGATACAAATAAAACTAAAAACAGAAGATAGTGCTAATAATGTTAAATCTTCACCAGTGACAATAGAAGTTAAATCAAGTGAACCAAAGGTGAAGAAGGGAAGAACAAATTTTTAAAAATAGAATTCTAAAGAAGAATGCAAATCGTTGTAAGTTTTGACCCATTAGCCTTGCTGCTAGATGGCATCACCTAAGAAGAGGGAAAATTAGACTATTTTGTCCCAAGGAAAGATGTTGCTGTGCAGTTGGTATTCTTTCATTGTTAATTCTTCAAAGGCCCATTATGCCAATTATAATGTAATAGCTAAATTTTTATTTCTCAAAACCCTTTTTATTTTGGTTGCCCAAATTAAAATTATTTTTCCAAAAAGTTATTGATTCCCCGAATTCCCTTTTGAACCATTGTTTTGCTTCTGGTCTTTTGCTTTATTCAGGGCACAAAAATGCCGAAAGCTTATTATTAAACATTTTGTTACAAATAAAATTAATTTTTTTATGGAAAATCAAAAATACCCTTTTATAAAAAAAATTTTTCCACTTTTTTTAAGTCCCCTAAACCCCTTTACCGGAAAAGGGGAAAATTTAGGTTACCCTCCGTTCTGTCTTTCCGTCTTTTCCGTCCGTCCCCCTTTTGACAGGGGTTTCCTGGGGCCCGCAATTTTCTTAAAAAAAAGGGGACTTGTGCCCCCCCGGTTGGGGTTATGTGAAATGTCTTGTGTGAAAAGTCACAGAAAAAACAAATGTTTCCAAAAAAAGCTAAAAGACCCTTTTGGACTGTCCTGTTTAGTCC